AATTGGAAGCCGGTCAACCAATCATGAAGGTGATAAATTTTTGTAACCAGGCGGGATTGAACCCTAGACCTTCTCCTGGTAACCTATGGAGCACTACCACTGTGCTATAGACCCATAGGTCAAATGTTTTTTTTTTTTATTAATGATATAAGATTGTTTTTTATATAAAAACTCTCAAGAGCCACAATGGGATTATAAAAAAATAGTAGCTTATATTGATTGTACCAAATTTGTTATAATTTATTAAATACAAAGATAGAAAGTCTCAAATAATCCAAGTAATAAAAAAAAGGAGAATTGATGATACAGTATAATAACAAAAAAAGATAAAAAAATAATAAAGATAACAAAAACTAAGTATCACATTACAAGCATTCAAATATAACAAAATATGAACAAGCAGGATATTGAGGTTAGTATAAGAACTATTAAATGATACATTAGTAAGTTTGAAAAAAAATATGTTAATGAAATTTCAAAATCTTTGTTTATAAAGAATTATTAGAAAAATTAGTTGAAATGAATGAAACAATATTAAAATTTTGATTAAAAAAGAATCATTTTTATAGATGAAAATATGTTGCAATTGTTTTTGTTAAGAAAAAAAGTTTGACAATTTATAAAAAGGAAAAAAATAATTTGTATTGTCAAATATTTATAAAAGATCCATATATGAGGATATTTTTTGACTTAGGATTTAAGAAGTTGATATATTTTTAACAAAATCTTGATATTGACTTTATATACAAAATCTATAAATAAGATCTTTTGACTTTTTCCATCAAATTTTTTGATAAGAGTAATTTAGATTGGTTTTTGCTAAAAGACAACAATCTCAAATATTGTTTAAAAATTTATAAAAGTTGAAATGTGAAAAGAAATATTAATGTACTTTTCTGGTCATCAATATCTCCAGATTAAAATCCTATAAAAATGTACAGCAATTAATAAAATTAAATATATAGAAAAAAATTTTTGAACTGTTACTGTATTAAAGGCAGAATTAATAAAAGTGTGAAATTATCTTTTATTAAGCTTGTAATAAAATTAATAGATAGTATGAAACATCATGTATTAATATTAATAATATTTAATAGGAACTATATAATATATTAAACTTTAGTATCAATGATGTAATTTTTAATAAAAAAATTTTTTTGCATTATTATTGTTTTTCAGAAAATTAAGAATACAGTTACTTATGATTGACATAATAAGTTTATCTTGAATATTCTTGAATAATATTTAAACAAATAAAAAATTAAATGGTTAGCTCAGTTGCAGATGATAGTAAAGAAATGTATTTCCAATAAAAGCAAGTAGAAATTCTGTAAGTGTTTTATTTGCCACAATAAAATATTACTTCTGTATATCTTTTTATTTTCTCTTAACATTTTTTTCAAATAAAAAATAAAGTAATTAATAATTATACTAGTGACATAGCAACAAGCAGAACTTTGATATATTAGTTTTAACTTCTATCCAATAGAAAAAATTGATAGCAATAACCAATATCTAAAGAAATCTTGATATAGTTTAACATATATAAATCAATTAATGTTATAATATAGTTTATTTATAGAAATGTGTATGAATATATGTAAATATTGAACTTATATAAAAGTCTGCTAAGCAAGGTTCAACTAGCATTTTTTTTTAAAAAAAAATTATTATTGAAGATTAAATTTTATAATTTTATTAATTTTTTTTTACTTTGAAATATTTATTTTAATAAATAATAATAATAAATTAATAAAAATATAAAAATAATTATAAGTAAACTTGCTTTATATATTTTAAAAAAGTTATTTCTAAAATTTTATTTAATTTAAATTATTTAAGAAATTATAAATACAAATATAATTGCAATTTTTTTCTTAACGCTGTAATTATAATTAATTTAAAATTAATTTATAAAGTTTATTTTCCAGGTGAAATACAAAAAAAAAAAAAGAACTAAATAACTAGATGCAAAATTAAAGATACGAAATTATTGCACAAACTACTCGTCTGTTCCTATTTAAATAAATGGTTATTAATATACAATACAATACAAATTTCAAAATAGAAAATAATTTTTTATTTGACGCAATTTTTCATGAGACAATTTCTTAATTTTTTGATGATGCCATCACTAAACATCATGTGAAAAAAGTTATCTCCCTTTTGTAAAATACTGTAGATATATTATATAACGCGAAGAAACAAATGTATTATATTTTAATTCCGTTTTGTTGGTGAAGACTTAATGGCAATTTCAGCGATAAGACATCTTCGTTGAAATTTATTTTTTTGTTTATAAAACAAACCTTGAACAAAGTGATGAAGATCCATGATACGTCGCTGATGATAAAGACAAATGTTAAAGTTGTTAAAATAAAAACGGTTTGATGAAAATGATTATTACCTTAAAAGCAAACATTACTTCTATAATATTTAAAAGTTCTGCCAGTTGACCAGAATTATCAGGAATTGTAAATCCTTCAAATTGATCTACTAGATACAAGTCGTCAACATAATGCATTGAAT